ATTTTTCGAATGACCCAAGTATACTACCCAGCAGAGGCAGGTGCACTCCAAGAACTCGGTTACCAGAACAGTCAAGAAATTAAGATGGCGCTTATCCATTATATCGTTGATTATTTCGCACAAGTGAATAGAATATGAGTACATTGAGACCTGAGAATCCTACGCATTCTTAAAGTTTTCACCATCTATATATCTGAAACTTGAGGGGAGTTCTCCATTGCTAGTGTCATACTAATATAAGGTATTAGCGTTTTCCGGGCTTATTTGCATTCTTCTCAAATATGGAACTGATATACACTATCTATCACCTAACTTTCGGTGGCATCCTTGGGTACATGAACAAAATCGTCTAACTAGCATTTCATGACAGAGAAGATCAGAACAGAAAACTTTTTGATTTTCTCAAATTATAGAGTTCTCATTATTATCTCCTTGATTCACTACTCTGGGACAGTAGCGATGCCTGAAAATGCAGCAGAATCAAAAAATTTGTTACGTGAATTTATCAAGTCTTCTCAGTGATGTTTACCTTCGGTCGGCCTGAATTCCTCTTCCTCTGTTCCAGGAGTCTGTCGCTTCCCAATCATAGCAGTCATTCCTTCCTCTTGTGCACTTGTTTCGTCTATTGTATTCTCTAAAATTTTTACTTCTTTTCGCATTTCTCACTTTTCTTACTAACCTTCACCAGCGATCCTTGTCAAAAATTCCTCGTTTTCTAGTGGTGTGGTTGGGTATGAGGAATCTAAAAATCGTCTGAATTGCTCAATTCGGAAGTATGAATGTAGAATATACACTCAGTGGTGACTTTGTCCGAAAGTTCTACCTGGCGGATGCGAATGTTCTGCCCATTCTGATATCACTAGTGATCGCCCCGCTGGCACTAGTATTTTCCTTGTTCCTAGCACTAGCTCAAACCCAGAACCTGAAGATTGAGGTCCATGATGACCGTTAGGCTCCCCTAACTCATGCGTATCAGGTGATGAAGAATAAGGTTCACGATGTCTGTGATGTTCCTCTGGCTCATGTGGATTAGGAATTTCGGAAGAAGGTTTATCATGTCTGGGATTGTCTCCTAGCTCATGTGCGTCAGGAAATTCTGAAATGTAAGGTCCACGGTGTCTGCGTTGCTCCTCTACCTCAAGTGCATCAGGAGATTCTGAAGGATAAGGTCCACGATGTCTGTGGTGTTCCTCTGGCTCATGTGGACCAGGAATTTTAGAAGAAGGTTCATCGTGTCTGTAACGGTCTCCCAGCTTATGTGCGTCAGGAAATTCTGAAGGATGAGGTTCACGATATTTGTGATCTTTCTCTAGCTCATGTGGTCTAACAGATCTGGAAGAATGAGGTCCATACTGTTCATATTGCTTCTCTGGCCCATACGAACCAGAAAAATTGGAGGAGTAACGTCCATGATCATGGTATCTGGACCGATGGAGTTCGTTATAGTCGGCGCTCACATGTGCTAAATACAGCAATCGCTTCAGAGACAAAAGATTAGAAAAATTCTACCTGTTGCAGCAAGCAGAAGGAGGAAAGTGAGCATTGTTACTTAGTGAGTCGCTCTCAAATCCTTATATGCATATCGCCCCTTTCTTATAATTATTGCTTGGCAGTTACATGCATTAAGCATCGTTTTATGCGTCATCTCACTGCTACATGAATTTTCCTAAGTGTGAAAGTTGTAGTCATGGATTTATCTTGTATGTTGAGTGCTGTTAATGTCTTTTATACGATTTGTTAATACGAAAATGTATGTATGCAGTGCAGTGTATGCATGCAAACGATTTATTATTCCAGAATGTGTATTCGAGAAGAACCTTAATGTGTTTTCATTTCTTCTCAATCGTCAAAGATTTTGTGTGGGTCCAGGAGCGAGAAAAACAATAGAGCAAGGGACCAGGACCGGCGACCATAATTCACATTTTGATCCATAAGTTATTTGTCCCATAGTAAAATCGAAGACA